GACCTCCCTTTGTCAAACATAATGAATTTTCTCTTAATGTATTTTGTTTTATTTGTAGATATGAACATTTGCGTGCTTTTTAAAAATTGGTCGAATTATTGATAAACCATCAATAGTTAGCTTGTTAATTGATTAAATTGATTAATAATTCATTGATATCTCTTCACTTGATAATGTTTAAATGGAAATTTTAATTAAAAAAAAAATATAAATTAACGTTTCTATTTTATTGTTAAAGTTCTCGGGATTATTTATTTAATTTCGCTAATTGTTGTCATTCCATTTCTTATCCACCTTAGTTCCGGCCATAACTTTTACAGAAAATATATTAGTTTGAATTTTCATCAAATATACAGATAAATTCAAAAACTAACGCTAAGTCACCTTTGCAAAAACTCTACCACGTATCAAGGCATACGGAACAGGTCCATATGATCGAGAATCCGTAGAATTACTCATATTATCGCCTTGAAGCCAGACGTGGCCTCGAGGTACCTAGAAAAAATAATCTTAATATATCAGTTAAAATGAAATAAAAAACGGTTCCATTTTGTCAAGACAGAAATTTAAAATCCACCACATACCGTCAAGTATCTTCGATTTCTTTCTGTTGGATCGACGCAAATGTAATCACCGGGCTTTTTTGCAGAATACCAAATCCAAAAAATTTAGAATTTCAAACTATCTTCGCTTACTCAAAGAGCATACTTACCATGCCTAATATCCGTTTACATACAGACCTTCCGGGTGTCGTGGGCGACACGCATACAACCACATCGCCGATTTCTAAAAGGCCTAGTCGTGGACTAATGTGTTCTTGAGCTACGACATCGCCTATTTCGTTAAAAGTGGGTAACATAGAAGGGCCCATACACTATTCATTTCGTATTATTTATTATGTAAATTACTGGTGATATATTCTTTATATTATCAATTGAAATCTTTGAACATTGTATTGCTATTATATAGAGATATATGTATATTTTTTAAACCAACCAAAGTGACTTCAAATACATGTTCATTGAACAGGTGGACAAAACAAACGACTTTTACAAAGGTGCCAACTTTTCGTAATATCGATCTCGCTGAAAGCATTGTTAGTGCTTTATATTAACAAAAAACGCGTTCTTTTATGCATTCCAATAAATAGAACTGGGTTGATAGTCACGTTTATGATACTTAAAAATGATCACAATTGGTCTAGTTGAAGACTGAAAATGTTAATGAAGTAGCACACTCAACCCAAGTCTGGAGTGGATTTACTATCATTCAAACTGGAGTCTGGTCTGGATTGTTTCAATGAAGTATTGCTCCGGAGCATAATCTGAAGCATTGCTTCAGAGCATAACCTGGAGTATTACTTCGGAGTAAACAAGATTGGATTGCTTCAATAGAGTAACCCGGAGCATAATTGCTCCGAAGCATAATCCGGAGTATTATTCCAGAGCATAACCTGGAGTATTACTTCGGAGTGAATCAGGTTGGATTGCTTTAATGAAGTGTATAATCTGAAGTATCATTCTGAAGCTAAATCAGGTTGAATTGAATTATGGCTTACTTTATTAAAAGTATATTATTATAGATCACGTCTTGTCATAGGTCACATTTTGTCTTAGATCAAAAAAAAGTGACGGGTCATGTGATCTTTAAGGGGTAAACCAATCAAATCGCAAAATTTTGTCTATAAAATTCTTGTTCTAACAAAAAATATTTCTTGCAAAATTTTGTTTTATAATGTTTATAATGGTGCTTATAATATTATAAAGTCATGTGAAATATAATTCTAATTACAATTTTAATCCTAATATAGTCTGGTATAAAAAGATTAATATATCAGATAAATATTAATAGATTATTTTTTCAAAATAAAATTTTAATTCTTTCTTATTTAATTAAATTATTAGATATTAGAATTTATTTAAATATAAAAATTTTTATTATATATATTTTATAAAAAAAATTTTACTAATATAAACTTTTTTGAATTATTATTTTATTATATAAAATTTAATTAAAATTAATATAAAAATTATATATAATTTAATTTCTTTATAATTACATCTTTGAAATACAAAAATCTGTGATTATATAGAGATATAATTTGTATAAAGATATTTTCTATATAGTTATAATTATATTAAAAAATATAAGTAATAGCTAAAGATAGTATAGCAAGTATGTGATACTTATTTATCATCTGTTACAACATGTTATAACTTCAAAATTTTATAAGTTGCAATTAGTTGCAATTAGATAATATTTTATTTGTCATCACGTTATAACAGTTAAGAAACTATCTTTAGTAATAACTATATAAGATTTATTTAATCTAAGTAGAGATGATCTTAAGTATATATATATATATGCAATCTTTAAATTTTAATTAATTATTCAAATCAGATATCTGATTAATTACTATAATAAGCTTTTAATAATTAAATAATATATAAAAAATACTAATAATTTAAAAATATACTTTTAAATTTTTTTTCATTAGTATATTATAAATAGATTTATAAAAATTTGATTAAAAATTAATTAAAAGATATAAAATATATTATTAAATATATAATTATATATATATAATAAATAAAATAATCTAATAATTTAATTATTTATATTATATCTCCTAAGTTTGTATCTAAAAAATATGTTGCTATATTAATAATAAATAAAAAAAATCTGTGAATTTGTTAAAAAGAATTCATCTTATAAATAATATGAAATTATAAATGAATTTATAAATCATTATTTAAATTTGAGAATTGAATATTCTACTATATCAAAAATACTAAAGAAAACTAATAAGTATTAACAACTTCAAGATAATAATATAGAAGTTGAGAAAACTTTTTGTCATTATTTTGTAAAGTACCTAATATTAGAATTTACTATAAATATATAAATAAAATAGGTTATGACTAAAGAAATAATTATATTAGACTCATTAATAAAAAAAAAGACTGTTAATTTATATAAGTATTTATCATATCTAAAGAATCTCTTATATTTTCAAATAGATAAATTGCTAAATTTAAGAATCATAATGAATTAAAAAAAATTATAATATATAGTAAAATATCAAGTATATTCTTAGAAAATTTATCTGTAAAATATTTTAAATTACAAGAACTTTTCTCTTATTATAATTCAGAAGATATATATAATACTAATAAAATAGATCTATTCAT